ACTTCATTTATGCTCCATGATAAACTATAGGAAAAATAACTCAGCTTTGCCATTAGGTAAAATGAAACAGCCTGCTGAAAGGTAGTACCATCTGCTGAGAGAGGCGACACTGGGTGAGGAGTGGGCTCTCACAGAGCCCTGACAACCAGTGAAGGTGTCGAATAGGTAATTGGATATGAGCCTGGAATCAAAGCGAAAGATTGAGGAGAGGCATTAGAATTGGGGTAGCATTTAGAGAAATATCTGAAGCCATGAGACTGAATTAAAATACCTGGGGAATGAGTATAGATGGACCCATCATTTAATCTATGAATACTTCAGTTACATCCAAAAGTTAGAGATTTAAAACACACACACACACACGCAATTATTAACATTCATTATCTCATCAGCATTCAGATTTCCCTGATTCTCTCTCTCCCTTTCTTCTTTCTTTTCTTTTTAAAAAATACAGTAGGTTTTTTTTAGAATTAAGATCTAAATAGAATTAAGACTTAAATAAAGCCCTCACCCGTAAAGCACAGGCAATAGTCCCTAATATAGGCAAGTGGGATTACATCAAACTAAAAACTTCCTCACAGCAAAAGAAACTATAACTAGAGTGAACAGACAACTCTCAGAACGGGAGAAAATATTGGTAAATTATTTCTCAGACAAGAGATTGATATTTAGACTAAATAGTGTCTTCAAGCAGCTCACCCATAAAAAAGTAAATTATCCAGTTAAATAATTGGACTAATGAACTGAATAGACAACTCTCCAAAGAAGCCTTATGAATGGACAAGTAGCATTTGAAAAAGTATTCAAAATCTCTTGTCATAAGGGAAATGCAAATTAAAACCACAATGAGGTACCATTTAACCTCAATTAGAATAGCTAGGATCAAGAAAAGAGAAAGCTAGAATTAATAAAAGAGAAAGGTGTTCACAAGGCTGTGGTGAAAAGGCTCTTTCACTGTTGGTGGGAAAGTAAAGTAGTTCAACCTCTGTGGAAAACAATATGGAGGTTTCTCAAAATCCCACAAATAAAACATTCATGTGACCATTATTCCCACTTCTTGGTATTTATTCAAAGAATAGGAAAACACTAAGTTGGATAGATATCTGCACATCCACTTTGCAGCATTATTTATAATTGCTAAAACATGGAACCAACCTAAGTGTCTAAAAAATGATGACTGGGTTGAACAACTGTGTCACACATATACTATGAAATATTATACCACTGTAAGAAACAATGAGATCCTATAGTTTGGCTGTATATGATGAATATAGAAGACTTAATGTTGTGTGAAGTGAGCCAAATTTTGAAAGATACATATTGTATATCCCCATTCAGTTTGTACTAAGCGCTACAGCAGAGGTTGAGAGACATGAAAATATGATGGTAGAGAATGAGTGTAAATGCTAGAGACTGTAATGGTAGAGAGTGAATGGTGCATGGTGGGTATGAGGTGCAGGGAAAAGAGACATTTGCTAGAGTTTTGAAAAATATAAAGCTCACTGTTGAATTTAAAAAAAAGATGGGAAATATAAAGTTCACTGTTGAATTTAAAAATAAAGCAATAGTATAAAAAAAGAACTTTTAAACAGACTAATGGAAGAACATGTCAAAATGTCATACAGTTTTTCCCATGTAGAACATCTGTTTTTATTTTTAAATTTTATCTATTTATTCACTTAGTTTTAAATGACAGGGAGAGAAGGAGAGAGAGAAGTATTTTTGAGAGGGTCTGGCTAAGGACATCTGTTGTTAACACTGTATTAGGATAAGAATCAGTAGCACACTCAGCACAAGCAAGCAATGCTGGGCAGTCATTCCAAACTAAGGGCCATTTTCCATCCTCCCTGACCCAAATGGACTTTTCTGGTTCCCAGTGTACCTGGACACATACAAGCAATCACATGAAGACTGCTCACCTATCTTTGAGACTGGTCTCTTCCCTTTAGTAATCACTAGTATAGAAGTAACTACATTAAATAGCATTAATGACAGATCAGATCACATAGAAACCATTCACATGCTCATCTGGATATTTTCAATCACTTTTAAGAGTTCTGAGAATAATGATCTTTTCCTTATTCATATTTCATAAATTTTCAGAGAATAGTTTGGTAGAAAGCACCATATACTTTATTGAAAAATTATCATCCTCAAAATTTCTTATGTTTTTAATAATAAACTAAAATATCACAATTAAACAAAAGATAAACTGTACTGAGGCTATTGATTCAATATATGATACTCTAAGTAGTGACATCAACAGAAACTGAAAGGATATCTTTTTCTCCTTCCCAAGTTTTTCATTATTTCCAACAAGAGTGGAAAAGAAAAGTGGAAAAAAAATTAAATGACTCTCAGATTGGGGACAGGAAAAAAAAAATAAAAAAGAAAAGGAGCTTTGCTTATTTCTAAACTTCTCATGGAAATAATGGATGAATGATCAAATACAGGAATGAGTAAATCTGATGAATCAATGCAAAGCAAACATTTAAAGAAAACTTAATGTACTATGAGATCAGGAACCAAGTTTTTAAAAAAATTATTAAAAGGCACAATTTTGATCAGAAAAGTTAGCCATTGTTTTACAAATTTTTCTTTCACTGTATATCCCTCAGCTTTTTTAATACTCTGGCAATGTATTCTTACAGTCTTTATTCCGATTGTAAATGAATATATTTTTGCTATTTTTACTTTGGTTTCCTGAGTGGATATTATAAATTAATCATCTAGGAATGACTATATTAATTATAGCTTTAAAATATTTCAGGGAAGATTTATTTTAATAATTTTTTTCTGCCTTGTTTAAGATGACAGTCTTCGTTAAGCATGACTTTTATATCATCTAATTAGAACATTAATGTGATTTGTTGCAGTTAGTCAGTCATCTTTGTCTGTTTGTTTAAGAGGTTTTTGTCTTAGGGCATGTGTGTTCACTAGAGAGAGAGACAGACAGACAGAGACAGTGAGAGGCAAAGTGAGAAGTCACCCCCCAACGGGATAGCCCCACTGTAATCCTTTCTCCTCTATTCTCCTCCTGGGATCTTGGCCATTGCGCACACATGTGCCTGATGTGATTTTTAAGCCACCAGGTCTGGGACTCGAACTGTGGTCAGCCATGTGGAAATTAAGCAATGTAACTGCTATGCCATCTGCTGGTCCCAGTAGTCACCTATTTTAAAACTTTCAGGTTAAACTCATAAAATATTAGGTGTATCAAATACAGACCAATGGAGAAACTGCTAGAGAAGTTCACTCAGCTTCATTCTGGTCTCTGCTCAAAGTCTGGTTCCTCTGGGAGGTGTTCCTTACCTGCCCTCCAGGTAAACTAGCTTCACCTTCTCTGCTACTCTCTTAGCTTCTTAATCTACCTTTTCCTTCTCTCTCTGTGTTTTTAACCACACTTAGAGACTTTTGATCATGTTCACTGGTGCATCACTGGCACCTAGAACAGTGCCTGACACCATGGAAAGTATTCATAATGATTTGTCCAATGAAGAAACTATTTACCACTAGAATGTAGGCCTCCTGAGGGTGCCTGGCATGAGATGGCCCTGCCAGCATTTATTTGAGAGGATGAAGGGCATATACTATAGGTAAAGATAAAATTCACTTTAAAAATATTTTTGTATATGCATAATATGGTCATTTTAATTTTAATTGTATATTTAAATTGCATGTAGATTTCTTATATAGAAATAGATTTTTCGAAAGGATATGGTATTCCAAGTAGACCTACAAAATCGCCCACTGTCTTTTTTGCTAGTGTAGATGGACAGGTTTATTTGAAGGGTTGCAGGTCTTCAGTGACTCAGCAACACCTGATGTACTGTAATATAGTACTCATAGATGTGGAGAACTCCGTCCTGTGACTGCCATGTGACAGACTCATAAAGGGATTGGTATCTGGATTCTTTTCTCCATTTGTTTCATTTTTATTGCTTGTGTGAATGTCCGTCAGTCTGTGTGCTTTAAATACTGATCCCAGGCCTTGAAGTGGAGAATTAAGGCTTTTATTATTATTTTTTACTTTATTTAAAAAATTACTTATTTAATATTATATATATGTGTGTGTGTATATATATTTATATATATATATACACATATAATTATTATTATTTTTAATTTGACTAGAGAGATACACACACAGAGAGAAAGGGAAAGTGTGAAAGCAAGTCACCAGGTCTGGGACTCAAACCGCAGGAGTCCAGCACCTTAACTACCATGCCACCTGCCTGTCCCAAAACTTTTATTTTTATGAGAACATTTATATAAACTCTTGCTCGCATTTTTTTTTTTTCCAGCTTGTATTCTTGTGGCTTCTTTGGGAAAGAGCATACATAGAGACATACTTTGTCGAGTTCTTTTCTCATTCCTTAACATCCTGTCAAAAATTGCTCCAATACCTTAATGCTTCTGAGGCTGCATGGTACTTCTGGTATTCCAAGCCTTCGGGAGAGAGGGGATGCAAGTGTTGATTAGAAAAATGAGTAGATATGGCATGAATTTGGGGCTTCCTGAAGGGCTGGGTGCCAGCCTGGCTTTGGTGGCTTGATTATCTTTTTTTTTTTTGAGAGGTTTTTGCTATAGGGCACATGCGCTTGCCAGACAGACAGAGACAGAGAGACAGAAAGCGAGAAATCACCCCCCAGAGGGGATGGCCATGCTGCAATCCCTTCTTCTCCATTCTCCTCTCGGGATCTTGGGCACACATGCACATGTGCCCGGCGTGAGTTTTAAGCCACCGGGTCTGAGACGCGAACCGTGGTCGGCTACATGGGAGTCCAGCGACATAGCCATTACGCTAACTGCTGGTCCGGCGGTGGCTTGATTATCTTTGTAAGGTGGTGTGTGTATCTGGAAAATAAAGATCCCTGTTCAGATGACATGGTGAGTGTTGATGCTGTCAGTTTCAGAATGGGCCGTTTTTTCCTTAGAAAGAGAAATCTGTGGTTTTCTACTCCCAGTGATTTAACAGACTTTTAAAATCTATTCCTCAGGTCATTAAGCCAGAGAGCACTGACAGAGAGACAGAAGCGGCCTGTGAGTCAGCTCTCCCTGAGGAGCTCTGTGGACACCATCTTCCACAGCAGTCTCCAAAAGGCTCAAATGACAGTCCTGATGTTATTATCGAAGCTCAGTTTGATGACAGTGACTCAGAAGATGGACATAGCAGCACAAAAAATGTGCTGGTTGATGGAGTTCAGAAACTCTCCATTTGTGTTCACGAAAAAGGTAAGTACATGACTGTCCGACGTTTTGTCTTGGGAAACTAATGGTTTTAAGTATTGGCATTCTCTCTGCTGTAGAAAGAGTCACAGAGTACATTTCGTCTAGTCCTCATTTCTGACCCATCTACCTTTCAGAAGAGAGGGTCCTTGACAGGCTTCTAGCTGCTGGTTATGAGCATGGGCCCAAGTGCTGCCCGTGGTTTGTGTGGCCAATGTTTGGTGTTGCCATGTTTCCAGGAGGCTTTGAGATGTGTGAAAATTTCCTGCAGTGAGTCCAGTGTCACCTGTGGTTGATAAGAACAGAATTAAGCTGGTCTTTAAAAATCTTAGGAAAATGTCTTTATCTTTGGTTTTGTTTTAATTCAGTAACTTTTAAAAGTATTTTTACGGGGGGAGACCAGCAGATGGTGAAATGATTACGTGAGACTTCCATGTAGTTGACTGCTGTTTGAGTCCCAGACCCGGTGGCTTGAAACTCATGCCAGGCACGTTTGCGTGTGTGCCCAAGATCCCGAGAGGAGAATGGAGGTGAAGGGATTGTGGCGGGGCTGTCCCCCCGGGGAGTGATTTCTCGCTTTCTATCTCTCAGTCTCTGTCTGACAAGTGCATGCACCTTATAGCAAAAATCTCTCTTAGAAAAAAGTATTTCTGTCATTGTAGTGGGCATGGAGCACCCGAAAATTTATTAGCAGATTATCTTTAAAAGGTGCCCTAATTATAAGCCTTTTTTTAAAAGCCTGTATTATTTTCTCTGCTCAAACTCTGAACCATGAGTCCCCTGAATGTAGGATAAAAGCAACTGCAAACACATGAGCAAGGAGCCATGGCCAAGGGTCCTATGCAGTTACCATTTGAATATTTCAACATGTAGATTTCTAAGAGTTTGTAAGTAGCTTCTATATTTTTTATCTAAGCTAAGTTTTACATGTACCATGAAATGAAAAAGATTGAGGAACACCAGCCTGGCCATACTGACTGTATAATGAGCTTCGTTGTCAGGAAGAAGTTTCTGGCATGTCCTCATGAAAGGCTACAAGAAATGCCAGAAGATTACTAGAGGAGGATGTGCAGCAGAGGACCGTGATAGGGCCTGGTCAGCACACTGCACTGCATCCTGGAGTAAGCTGGAGCTGATTTCAGGAAGTGCCTGCAGGAGGCTTACCCTGCTCTTCTCCACTGCTGGTGGGTAGTGACTTGGCAGGAGAGCGTCTCCTGAAAGCATGTGCCCTTTTTGGTGTCAACTACTCATTCAGAGTGACTTTCCAACTTTGATGTTTATTTTTTTGGAGAGGTTTTTTTTTTTTTGCTATAAGACGCATGCCCTTGCCAAACAGACAGAAAGCAAGAAATCACCACCCCCCCCGGGGGGGGGGGCTGGCCATGCCGCAATCCCTTCTCCATTCTCCTCATGCCCTACGTGAGTTTTAAGCCACTAGGGTCCGGGATACGAACCATGGTTGACTATATGGGAGTCCAGCGATATAGCCATTACACTAACTGCTGGTCTCTCAACTTTGATGTTCGTTTTGAATGAAGAGACTAGTGCTTCCTCTGTCAGGTATACTAACCTGAGGGTCCCAGGTTCCTCTTGTTTTGTGGCATGCTTAAGTAGCTAGTGGTTTCGCTCATCAGGCCTTAGCCAATTTCATTTGGATGCTAGTCCTTGAAGCCACATTCTTCTGATATTTCCACTTTCTTTCCTTAAAAATAGTTGAACACTGTAATCTTCTTAAAGTGTGTGTGTATTATCATAACAGCATCAGTGCTGTGAGTCATGGCTTTTTAATGAGAGGAGAAGGAAGTAACCAGGACCCTAAATAGCCTCATCCTTCACCAACATCACCAGAGAGTGATTCATAGGACAGAGCAACACTTTAAATTGCATTGACTGTTTGGCCTAAAACTACTTTATGGAAACCTAACGCTGATGATTGGGCTTGGCAGGTCTCAGCAGCTTCTTTTCCTCCAAGCTGAAGGATTGACACCTTGATCTCTCATTAGTGGTTGATGCTAATATGAGGGCAAGGAAATATTGATGAATGGAAGTAATGGCAAAACCTTTGCCTCGGTTGGATGCTAGCAGTTCACTCTGCCCTTTGTGTGGGAAGCCCTGGTGCCAGACGTGCTCCTGCTTGGCCGTGGTAATTCCTTCCCTCTCTCTCACTAGTGCGTGTCACTGAACACACATCCACCCTCCACGTTTTCTCCATAGTCTTTATCCGTTCTTTCTGCCCATTGTTATTTATATTGCTCCCTTGCTAACCCTGACTGAGGGAACAACCTTAATCCTTCCCCAGTATCTGGTATGGATTTCTCTTTCCTGCTTGCCTCTAAATAGGGAGTTTGTGAAACCACATAACTGTTTCTCATTTCTTGCCCTCTTGATATTTAGGAAAATTGCAATTTGCTCTTTTAAAAATCACAGCGTTTTTTAGGATATTTCAACCAGCTTTTCTTGCTCAGAATAATAAAAAAAATCTGGTTATAGTTAGGATGTTAGTACTTTTTGCACCATTTAAGGTTTTAAAATTTGTTATTGAAACAAACCATAACCTTAAGAACATCATAAACTTTTCCTAAGACTTCTAGAAAGTTTCTTTGCTTGGCATTGTACTTGTAAGTGGATTGTTAATCCTAGTTCATGCTTGTGTTCAAAAGTGTTTTTTGGTTTGTTTTTGTTTTAAGAGCATGTTTCTTTACTCAAAGCTAATGCCACATATTGCATGTGTATGCATAGTTCATCTCTGTTTGCCCAAGAAACATTACACCTTTATGATAAGCGGTTTTTCTGTAAGTCAGTATATAGCCCAGGTGTCTACAGCTAGTGCCCATCATTGCATTAAGAGAAAGAACCTCTGGGTGTCCCAGACCCACACAAGTGTCTTTTAGGAAGGCAGCATGGACCTGTATCATCTTCAGCCTCTGAAAGAGAGGAGGCTGAAGACCTGGGCCCTTCTCAAAGGTCTAGTCCTGTGGCTGCTTTTACGTCTTATAAGCAGCATCTTTGTTAGCATGGAAGTCTGCCATTGGTGGAGGCCAGGGGCAACTCAGTTAACTGTCCTTCGTGTCAAATGCTTAAATGTCTAAAAATGTCTGGGTAACAGTTGCCTGGCTAGCACACTTCAGAGGATAAGAATCGCCAGGGTTGAGTGACAAAGTAGTTGTCCATCTTCCATCACCAAGAATTTTAAGAACAGTTTTGGCCTCTGGATCCTGGTAATCATGGGCTGTGAAGCAGACTTCTTGCCTTGCCTCTCGGTAGGTCTTGCAAGGATCTTTTTCAGTTTTCTGGTCTGGGGACAAGCCTGTGCAAGTACGTGATGAGTGGGTGTGGGTTTGATGTGGAGTCTATGATGGCCTTTTCACTTGTGTCTCTTGGCCAACTTCACCTGTGTTCTGAGGCACAGAATCCACATGGAATCCTTAGTCTCTCCTGAGACTAGAATTAGTTTATTACTCCTCCTCTGGGGACTGCCCATGTCACCTTTGGGAGTCAAGCAGACTCCTTCTTTCTTGTTTTAGATTGATCTCCTTCCAAGACAGGCCCTTTTTGCACCTTGATTTTTAAAGCTTTATTTCTTTGAATAAAAAGTAACCATAATCCCCTTTAGTTGAGAAAAGGGGAAGATATTAGTACTTTTTGCACCATTTGAGGTTTTGAAATTGGTTTTCGAAACAAACCGTAACCTTCAGAACAACGTAAACTTTCCCTAAGACCCATATGATTATTCCCATGTGATACTTTGGGAGTACTGAAGCCCCAAGAACCTTTTCTCCAAATTGTCTTCTTTCTCAGAGCTATTCTTCCCCGCACTTCCAGCTCTTTACTGTGTATAATGATGATTACTAACTAGAAGACAGCCATGTTTTTTTCAGAAATTGTGTTAAATTTAAATACATGATATCTTCCCATTACCCACAATTTTGGACACTGTTATGTGTCTTTTTTTTTTTTTTTTTTTTTTTTAGGTTGTTGCCATAGGGCACTTGCTCAAGACAGAGAGGGAGAAAGTGAGAAATCACTCCCCCAGGGTGGATAGTCATGCTGCAATCCCTTTTGTTCCATTCTTTTCTCAGGATTTTGGGCAAACATGCACATGTGCCAATGTGATTTTCAAGTTGCCAGGTCCAGGACTTGAACTGTGGTCAGTTATGTGAAAGTCTAGCACCTTAACTATCACACCACCTGCTGACCCCATGTCAATTTTTAAATAACCAAATTTCTTTTTCATAATTTTTTGTCATAGGGAGTGTGCACTCACTGGAGAGAGATAGAGAAAGGGAATGTGAGAAATCACCCACTGTGGGGGTGGCCACTCTGGAATCCCTTTTCCTCCATTGTCCTGGGATTTGGGGCATGCAAGCACTTGTGCCTGGCATGTTTTTCAAGTTGCAGTATCTGGGACTCAAACCATGGTTGGCCATGTGGGCGTCCAGCACCTTAAAAACTATGCTATCTCTTGGTTTTAAAAAAAAATACAAGGTGCCCAAAATACACCTTCCCGGCACAAGTCTTTCTGTTCAACAGACAGAGTGGGAATTTCTGCTTTCCCCTTTTAGACAAGGTGGATGGTGCGATGGTCAGGACCTTCAGTGTTGTAAGACCCAAATCCTGTGCTAGAGGAACCACTCCTCCCTGTGACTTTGCCCCAGAGAAATACATGCACAGAGGCAGCGAGAAGCAGAGGAGCAGTTCTTTATTAATGGAGTCCTTGATCCAAGCCAGAATGATGACAGCAGGCTGCACTTTCATTTGCAGTGCACAAAGCTTCTTAAATCTTCTGTCATTATTATTATTGTTGTTATTTTCAATCTTTTAATTTATTAAACAAATTTTTTTATAGGACGCCTGCACTTGCCAGCGACAGAGGGTTGGGGGAATGGGAAAGCATCCCTGGTGAGAAGGAGGGAGCGGGTGGTAATGATGCAGTCCCTTCTCTTCCATTCTCCTCCAGGGATTTGGGGCATGCATACACGCTAAGGTGTTTTTCAAGCCACCAGGTC